AAGCACCAGTACCTGGTTCCCAGCACTGTCTCGCTGCCGCACACAGTCTCGGAAATCCCGGGGAGGTAAACAGCGAGCGACGAGATGATCCACGCTCGGACACAGCGCGTCAGAAGCGCCACAGTCCGGTCCTGAGCCAGTCACTGAGCCACCAGGGCGGCAGACAGCGAGAGTCAGTCTCATTGTGCAACTAAGGAATGTCTACACTAGACCGTTAGGTAGTGCCCACATTGTAAGAAAAGGTTAGCAAGGAGTCGACAACCACGCACTCTATTTACCGGGCTCCGCAGCCCGTTTCCATCGTTTCCAGAGCTCTCGTCAGCTGTTATCGTCGAGTCGCAGCCGAGGAAACTGTAACAGCAACGCAATACGACATAACACCAACCGGGACACCGCAGTGCTCGTCATCCATTCAGACACCGCCGATAGAGCGCCACCCATTACAAGAAGAAAAAACAGCAGCGGGCGGCGGCATAACCGAGTACCTGCGCCATGAAGCCGGTACAGCACATTAATGGCCTGGAAATCGGTTCCCAGCAGAGTGCGTCCGGCCGAGCTTCCAGAGACTAGTGCTCCCAGCTACTCAAATAGACCGTCGCCGGACGAGAGGCAAAAACGAGCGCGGCTCGGCGGCCGGTCACAGCTGGACACGGCGAGGGGGCACCCCCAGGCGGTCTGTCGGCGCGTCATCGCCGCCGACGGACGTCATCGGCCGTCATCGGCCGTCATCTGACGTCATCGCCGCCCCCGCCGTCCGTCTCGCCCCCACCGGGAGCAGCTATCCCGGCCCGCGCCCCGTGTCCACCGTCCCGAAACCCACCGCCCACCGTCTCTAGTCCACCGCCACCCGCCTGATCCACCGGCACCGGCTGCCCGCTGTCCACATTCCACCGCGCTCCGGCGCCCGCCGTAATCCATCCGATAGCCGGCCGGCCGCTCACAGTTGAGCCTCTCGAGCCGCCGGCCGGCCGGCCGGCGCCGCCCGCCGCCGCTATCAGAGTGTTTGTCTGGCCAGGTCGCGGCCGTGCCTCACATTGCACGCCCCCCGGGTGGCCGGGGCGCGGCGGCGGAGGGCCGGCCGCCGCCGCACCGCGGCCGCTTTCCCCGGCCGCCGGTTCAGCCAGCACATCCACCGCCGTCCGAGCTGCCGTGTCAAAGCGGCGTGGCTCGGACCGAGATCCGCTCCGCGGGGATTTGGCCCGCCTCGGACCTGCTCCACCCATCACCGTCTGAACTCTAAACAAAACCAGTGGAGGTCGAACCGTCCCTGACGTTCAAACGATAGTTCAACCCAAAACCGGTCGCTTAATCAGGACGTCAACCACTGGCGCTTAACGCTATCCGACACTTGGATGCGCCCGCCAGGGGCAAATGATAGCTCGATTTGAACTTCTCCATTCAATTCAGCTCTACCATTTGCAGTCAGGTGACTGTGCAAGACTAACTCCCCCACTAAGCCTTCTTTCCGTTGCCTGCCCACTAAATCCCCAATCACGCACGGCGGCACACAACACTGCAGTCAGTTCCTACACGAGGCCGATCTGCCGGATTTGGCTCAGGTCTCCGGCGAGAACATTGCACCGCGCCTCTGCCGCACCCAGACTTTCCTTCTCATGACCTTTTCTCACACTCACCTCTAATAGGAGGCTTGATTCAGTCCTTCGTGTTTTTTTTTTTTTTAATCCTACCTGTGAACAGTTTGTGACGGGAGCTCGACCCTTAGTTGACAACATCGCCACGACTTATTGGCCGAAACAGTGGCAAAATGTCCTTATTCAAAGGTCCATGAAGGGCGATACCGTGCCTTCCCCTGGATGCAAACTAACTCCTTACGAATTCTCAAGAAATGATGGGATTATCTTCGGTATTCTTTCCACATCTTAGCTGTTAGCATACGCATGGATAAAAATAAAATCTACACTTTTTAGCTCCAAAGTCACATCTGCCAGAAATGCCGACACAACATTTGAACGTTGATGATGCAAGCAATCAATTAAAAATGGCTTCGTTTTGCCTTTGAAGTTCACAAACGCTCCTTCCAACAATCAACATATAAAAGCGTGCCACCGACATCCGCGGGTAACAATAGTCGAGCACCGGCCGTTTCTAGAAAGCCGCGCCGCCTTATATAACTGGCGGCCGTGTCGCCACAATGTCATGTGGGGCGGGAAATATCCCGCCGTGTCGGCCGGCTCCGACCAGGACGGGACGGACAGGAGGGGAGCGGGGAGGGGAGCCGGACGTGTCGGTCCGGCCCGCCACCGCGGCCAGTCACCCCTTCCCAACCACGGTCCACCAGCGCCGCGCCGCGGCTCACACCTTACTGACCAGCGCCGCGCTACACCTAACACCTTACTGACCAGCGCCGCGCTACACCTAACACCTTACTGACCAGCGCCGAGCCACACCTAACACCTTACTGACCAGCGCCGAGCCACACCTAACACCTTTCTGAGCGGCCGCCGAGCCACGACCCACACCTTTCTGAGCGGCCGCCGCGCCGCGGCTCACACCTTTCTGAGCGGCCGCCCAGCCACGACCCACACCTTTCTGAGCGGCCGCCCAGCCACGACCCACACCTTTCTGAGCGGCCGCCGAGCTGGACAGAATGGGACTGAGAGGTCCGAGGTGGCAGGACTTTTCTCTTTCCCGCTCGACACCACACGGCAAGGAGGAGCACGACAGGGCAGAGCTAGGCAGAGACAGAGCAGGACAGGACAGGACAGGACAGGACAGGACAGGACAGGGCAGGGCAGGGCAGGGCAGGGCAGGGCAGGGCAGGGCAGGGCAGGGCAGGGCAGGGCAGGGCAGGGCAGGGCAGGGCAGGGCAGGGCAGGGCAGGGCAGGGCAGGGCAGGGCAGGACAGGACAGAGCTAGGCAGAGGCCGAGGCAGGGCGCGGCGAGGAACCGAGTGCCACAGGCCACATAAGAGCTGCTTCTTACCGCCCACACAACGACTGCCTTTACAGGGACCTTTCAGAGGCATCTGGATACCAAATACTTCAGGAATCTAAAACAAACCGTAGAAAACTGGTACACTCGGGGGCAGATTGATGTTCCACCACTCCCTACCCATCGGGCTCCCATGGCTCAGCGCTGGCTGCTGCCAGTGGCAGCACTGCCAGCACTGGCACTGGCAGGCAGTGCTGAGCAGTGCTGAGGGCAGGCAACACTGGCAGCAGCCAGTGCTGAGCCATGCAGGATCGCCCGATGGGTAGGGAGTGGTGGTATCAATCTGCCCCCGAGTGTACCTAATGCAATGCATGACGCATAATGTACTCGTAAATTGATGCACTAGTCCATGCACTAGTGCGTCCGACTACATCCATGCGTTTGTCTTGCGGCAGTCCATCATTGAAAGTATCGTTCGTAACCTATGAACGGCGAACTTCTCGGAACAAGCGAAAATAATGAAGTGCCCACGACACCCACGATTGCTGTAAGTCTAAGGTGGTCTGCGACATTGGAAATGTTACGCAATTCGCAGCGAATCTCCGACCGAGGCTCCCAGCGAGTGCGTAGCAGTGTGCAGCTCTCATAAAATAAACAGTCGCCCAACTATGACAAAGAAAACATCGCCACACCAACGGATAAACACGTCACAAATCGATTCATGGCAACGATAACAATGTTTATGAAAAGGTATGCAAAAATTAGGGTCAGGTTTAAGTTCCCAGCGCGCAAGCATCGTAATACACAATGTATTCAGCAGACCGCCGAGTTTATTGGAAATCCACTTCATATCGCGGGTCCAGCGCTGAAAGTCATGCCCCGTTGTGGTTTACCTTCGCCGGCTGTTTCCTCAACCAACAAGCTTATGCAGCAAGTTTGAAAGCCCCAGTCCTAAGCCAACAGGGAAAATCCGCCAGCTTCGGCCGACGTGTCGGCGCCACTCAGCATGATGACGTCATCACCTTCACGTGACATCACACCTCATCCAGCCAATGGAACGCGAGGCAACAAAAGCGAAGTCATTACAAACTCCGTCAATGGCAAATTGAAAAAAAAAATAACGAGCTCGGTCGTCGACTTCACCCTCTGAATGCTTGCTTCGGTGTGAACACATTTAACGCTTTGATTGCCGCCAATAGCGTGATACGCTTCCCTTAATATATTTGTAATTGTATTAAAAGGCATATAACTTTTGATATGGCTAAATGTAAGAGGTCTGAATCAGAAAGAAGCCTTGAGGCCTCTGTGCCGGTTATTTTCAGCCATAAACCTAGCGAAGTGATGCAACAGGACGCTTAGAATACACCTCCAAAGGCATGCTCTCTCTGGCCGGCGTCTGATCCGCACATCACGCAAGGACTTGTTTAGAAGCAGGTAAAGCGGCGGCCGGACGCGAGCGAAAACTGGAACGGCCGAGCACCGCTCACGACCATCTTGGAGGCAGGTAACGAATGGCACAGAGGATAGCCAGGGGGTGACAAGAAAAAGAATGGCGATCGTGGCCTCCACATGTCGAAAACGACTCAACTCGTCATTTGACACCACTCTCCGGACTAAGTTTGCAACACTCTTTAACGTCAACCAGTCAATGCTGCTCTCTGCCCCCCCCCCTCAAACTGAGCGTATAACGCTAACTCCTGGCGGTGGGTGGACCTCTCGAGCAGATGTCCGGGGTCAAAAGGAACAGTCGGTCTCCTCAGTGGGTCCCTATGGGCTGAATTTTACCATCGCGGCATCATACCATACCGATGGTAGTACATAAGTATTTGTATTCTTTGGTTCCCTCCAAACCTGCTGACCAGACGAGTGGCTGGCTCTGACCGAGTGGCTGCCCACGGGCCGTTGCAGCTCACCTGGTGGGCTCGGCGGTAGTGGCTGGCTCTGACTGAGTGGCTGCCCGCGGGCCGTTGCAGCTCACCTGGTGGGCTCGGCGGTAGTGGCTGGCTCTGACTGAGTGGCTGCCCGCGGGCCGTTGCAGCTCACCTGGTGGGCTCGGCGGTAGTGGCTGGCTCTGACTGAGTGGCTGCCCGCGGGACGTTGCAGCTCACCTGGTGGGCTCGGCGGTAGCCTACGGCTCGGTGTGCAGCGCGGCTCGCCGCCGCCGTCTTGCCATCCAACGGTCTGTCGGCGCCCACAGCACGCAACACGGCGGCCGCACACCTGCCCACGACAGGTCACCAGTCAGTCACAACTCACACAGACAGTACGGGTCACGTCCGGTCACGGGTCGGTCACACGGACAGCACGGGTCACCGGTCAGTCACAGACAGCACGGGTCACCGGTCAGCCAGAGACAGGACGGGTCACCGGTCAGTCACACAGACAGTACGGGTCACCGGTCACCGGTCAGTCACACAGACAGCACGGGTCACCGGTCACGGGTCAGTCACACAGACAGCACGGGTCACGGGTCAGTCACACGGACAGTACGGGTCACGGGTCAGTCACACAGACAGCACGGGTCACCGGTCACGGGTCGGTCACACAGACAGCACGGGTCACCGGTCACGGGTCAGTCACACAGACAGTACGGGTCACGGGTCACGGGTCAGTCACACAGACAGTATTGGTCGCGGGTCACGGGTCAGTCAAACAGACAGCACGGGTCACGGTTCACGGGTCAGTCACACAGACAGTACAGGTCACGGGTCACGGGTCAGTCACACAGACAGTATTGGTCACGGGTCAGTCACACAGACAGTATTGGTCGCGGGTTGGTCACACGGACAGCACGGGTCACGGGTCAATCACACAGACAGTACGGGTCACCGGTCACGGGTCACGGGTCAGTCACACCGGCCAGGGGAACACTTCCGGTCCGCACGAGCCGCCGGCCGACCGTCAACAAACACAGCGCGACAACAACCGAGCGGTGCGGGCGGCGGGGCGGGCGTTAGAGCGGACCGCCGCCGCGGGGCGGGTGTCAGGGGAGCCACTCTGGAAGGGAACACTAGCACAATATGGCAGGACAGCTCAGTTCAGCTGAATGACATCTGACACCCAACACACCACAACTGGACAGTGGACAGCACTGTACCAGGGAGAGGGAACCTGCTGCCAATCAGATCCTAATTAGGTATATCATGTGGGAACAAATGGGTCTACAAAACTTCTACCTGTACATGTGAGTGCTTTTAAAAATGGTCAGCAGCATTATGAAAGGTACCAAACATAAAGCAACTATTTTAAAATTAATCACGCATTATTTTCGTTAGGCATTACAGAAGTTGTCATGGTAAATTTGGGGTTACATAGGCACATTTATAGCTGCATCGAAATGCCTCCATGGTAGGGACAGAGCAGTTGGCTCCTCCAGCAGGCTGGTGCAATACATGAATCACTGTGCTGGCACACACCTAATTGCCAGCTGTTTTCACTCAGGTGCAGCCATTCCTGGTCCACCAGACACATACCTAGTCAGAGTTCCCAAACTGCCTGCCTCAGGTTAATTTTCCAAGCCACCAAAACAGGATATCATTTAACACAAAACAGGTACCTGGGTTGAAGAACTGTGAAGTTGACATCAATGTCCTACCATGCATAGAACAATGGCAAGAAGGAAAACAGAGGACAGCATCTAACTTTGCTGATAAGTGTTAGCACCTTTCCATACAGATTTCCTAATTTTCTCAGCCTTGCAACCCTCTGAAGGTAAATGGCCCCATTGAGATGCTTCAGAAATTCGAAATGGTAAGGTGGCAATGCTGGCAGGCTTAGCCTCAGAACTGTGCAGTGTTGACATTTCCACAGTACATTTTGACATTTTGGACAGTGAGGAAACATGATGTAGGTACTATTTCTTTTTTTACACCAGTCATCAATGACTTGAAACAGATCAGTTAATCACCATATAGCAATCAACTTCAACAATCAATTCTTACATGAAAGCACCCACAAGCATATGCTAGCATGTAGCTAAGTAGCAGCATTTCTTCACTAGGTAGGTACCTACCTGTTACCTTTCATCAGTGTTCAGGTGTAAAGTGTGGCAATGTAGTTAGGTGCTCATCAGCTAGTTTGATCACATTCTTATAGTAACAAATCTGTAAATTGGGTTTTGATGGCAAAATTATGTGGCTGAAGCATTAGTGGCACAATGGATCAGGTCACAGTGCCCAGAATTAAGCAAAAACTTTGTGGTTGGTAGCAATAATCTGCCCAATCATAGCCAGATTCATGATTAATTAAATGATTAAAGAAAGCATGTTTTTAGGGCTCATGATTATAAATATAGCTGTAATGAAAAACCTAAGTCTCATGCTAATAAATTAAATGTATTTAAAACAAGGCCAAAAAATAAGACAAGTCTAAATAGAAATAAGTCTTATTTTCTGAGCCTTACTTCAAATACATTTATTAGCATGAGGCTTATAGGTTTTTCCTAACAGTCATATCAGATTTGCAAGCCTATTTGTATTGTTTTAAGTGTTTTAGTGCACATGAATCCTTTAATAGGCAACACCTTTAACAGGTACCAGCCAGCTGATAACATCACCATGCTCGTAGTTTTACTTTTTGACTTACATTCAATCATATAGCCTATCTTAAATCATATTTATTCATGCATTTAAACACTGATCTCGACAGGCTCAGCAATCCCAACATTCTAACGAATCTTTACCTTTAGTCCTTTGATGTGCCACACACTAAACTAATTAAGCTTGCTGTAAAACCAAAGTCTCAACAACATTTAATAGGTACATTTTACCCGGACTGATACATTCTATCACCTGTCCTATGTTCAAAAGATAGGCGCACACTGCACAGATCTATAGTGATGCAAGCTTTCAGCAACTGCTACTTATTCTATCAATAAAGCTGAGCAAGGTTAACTAACAAACCCCAGCATGTACTATTACCATTTACATACCCACCTAAATTCAGAAGTTCTTTTGTAACACAAACTCAGACATTGACATGCGCCTCTTCGCCGTGGAAATGACGAGACTATTGTCTCCTTGTAGCTGCGCCCTGAAGTTGTCTGCGGCCACCCTTCGAAAACGCTTCCAAGAGTGAAGCGTTTCACATACCTGACAACACACGTTGCCAAAATTGAGCACCTGAAGTCTCGCAATCAATCACGCAACAGACTTTGCACACTGACTCCTCCAAGCTCGTCGCTTCGGGGGCGGGGTAAGCAGCCAATAATTTCAGAGTTTCTACTACCGATTTCGGTTTCAGTGGCCGCGATGAGGTAAGTTACGCTCACTTGTAATGTATTTCAGTGCAGGGTACCTGCTAATTCAAAACAAAGACAATCTACCGATTTACACCGGAACCCGTCTGCCCCGAGCTACACGGAGCCCGAACGTGAGTTTTTTTTCCGATATGGCAGCAGTTTGGCATGATGCAAGTCAACACCAAAATTACCTTCACTTGTCCACTTCATTCAAAACTGATTTCGCCACTGAATAGCCTTTAGTCCATGATTTGCATACGCCAGAAATATTTGAAACTGTTTTTATCTAATTGCTTTATGCAATTATTGCTTTCTTCTAAACTATTTTTTGCTAATAAAGCGAAAAATGTTTGAGTATAAAGTTAATTACCTACTAGCGAAATTATTTCAAAAATGGTAGCATACCGAAACGGGGAATGCTGCGCAACTGTTGCGAAATGATTTTTCACGTTTTGCATGTAGTTGACCGTATTATGTATATTTTTCATTGAATTTATGTCAAATTTGACCACGTTAACATCACATAACACTCGAAATGTCCATTCCATCAGCCTGCTGTCTAAGGGGTAAGATCTTCCTTTGTTTTATTTACTTTTGAGCACGTGTCTATGAAGGTGAATCAGAATGAAAGTTAAACACTCTATACCTACTTCAACTTATTTAAATTTGTATTAATTTTACCCTTTTTGAAGAGCCAACGGTTTTAAGTCTCACCATTTCTTGACGGGGTGTCGAAAAAACTATCAAAGTAGCCCTGCCTGGTTGACAGTAGGTATTCGGGTCTTGGTGTCGCTAGCCTTTACCTATAGTCAGGTTTTTCAAGCCTGTTTGAATTGATTGCTTTAAGTACACAAATAAAGGTGGCCCGAGATGAGCAATGGAATTGAATAGAGAGTTCTAAGTCAGTTGGGCAAACTAGACTTTTGGAATCAAAATATGGAGGCATCAATAATTTGATTCTGGTGGGAGGAGCCATGACCTAATATGGGCATGGAATCAATTTTTTGATTCATTTGGGTACACTTTTGACTTCAAATGTATCGTTACGGTTGAAAAAAGGCCCATGACGGTGAGATTTTTCTTTAAAAAGGTAGAAAAATGTGGTAGGTTTGCAAAAAGTGTTACCTCAAAACTAACAAATTGTCCCTTTGGCCTTGTGAATGGGAAAAAGATAGAGGCACTGTCCATCACGTAAAAGCTGTTTTGAGGAAATCACACTGTTTGTTATTTTTGTATCATGAATTGCATACTAAACAATCAGTATTTGTGTAAAATGGCAAAATGAAATTTTCAAACCCCTAATTATCACTGTTGTAGTGCTTTTATATTTATTATATGGCTTTTACCTGTTGCTTCAGTTTTTGTATTCTTGACATTTAAAAATTGTGAATTGTTATCAAATGTTGTGAAGGTTATGTACAACAATGCTAAAGGTATCTGTAGTGGTGCTGAGGATCACACTTAATGAGAATAATAGCAAGATAAATGCTGTATTCTTGCAAGTCATTGTTACCTATCTCTTAACATTACCTGTGAATCAAAATAATGATTAGCCAGCTGATGGGGAATCAATATTATGATTATCTGTTTAAAGTGAATCAATTCCTTGATTGCCTTTCACTACCTATAGAATTCAAATTGCTATGATAGGAGCAATATTATTTGCTTAGGAGATACTTTCAGCATTTCTGTTCAAGATCAGGCATGCTCCTTCTGGAAACACTCTCTTATTTTTATGTGTTTGGTAAGTTAGAAATGGTCTGCATTTATGCCCAAATATGGTCAAAAGGAATCAATCTTTTGATGCCTCCATATTTTGATTCCAAAGGTCTAGTTTGCCCAACTGAAGTAAAATCAAGAAAAGATGATTTTTTTTAATTGGCAAATGTTAAAGGTAGTGAGGTTCCATGTGTGCTTCTCATCAAAGCTTTTAAAGAAATAGGACAGACTTAAACCCTCGCCGGCCGAGGGGGGTGGGTGGCGGGTGCCGCCCCCCATAGGGTTTTTTCATGATTACTCTGAACACGCTGGCGATAGAGAGCTGAAACTTGGCATATCTGACCTTTGATTCAAGCCAAATCTTTTGACACCAACTGCATTTTTGGGTCAGGTCAGGTCACTGACCTATGATGTCATAAGTGAACCTCTGCACAGTCTTCAGATATCACAACTTTGCAACGTCCTCACTGCTTTCACAGGGAAATGAAATTTGCAGGATCTAGTATCCATTACGAGTCTCACTAGCTATATATCTCAGATTTTTCCTAAAGGTCATATGAGGTCAGGTCATTTTCGTGACCTCACCATTATAAGTCAATGGGGAAAAATAAAAACTGCTATTCTGGGGCCGGGAACGATCTCCCACTATCTGAAGCACACAGAATTGTGATTTCATGCACTCCTTGTAAGGTTAGATGCGTCATTTTTGCAATGCTGACCTTGCGTGACGTCATTTATGACGTCATCAAGGTCACATTAGTTTCTCGTCAATAACTCTCGATCAAATTGAGCTAGCGAGTCGGGAAAGCCGCCAATAGACTCAGGAAGACCTGCCAAATCGAATGATATGCGACATGACCTCCTTCAACAAACTTCGTGACCTGGGGGCGCTGACCTGACCGTGACCTGAGGTCAACACCATAAGTTGGCCTCACCTAAGCAAAAAGTATATCATTCGACGCGCCTGAGCGAGGCGAACACGATGCTGCCAAAATCGTGGCTCTACGGCCGTTGTTTGCGAAGTTATTCACCAAAAACTGAACCGTACCTTGGGGTACTTGACCTGACCTCAGAGGCCACCGGTTGACCTAGGACCTTAAAATCGGGTATCAATCTCTGCGTCTCGTAACGGCGCACACGCTCATTTTTACGCGACGCGCTAGCTCCACCAAGGGCGAAACGGCGAGGGCGGTCGTACCCCCCCCCCCCCCCTCGGCCGGTGCGTATGTAGAAAACCAATAGGTCCGGTGAGGGTTAAGAAATAGAATTATAACACAGCCCGTGCTCCCCAGGACTGGTGGTCAGAGGACCACTCCTTGCCTCTGTCCGTCACAAGGCACGCATAAACATCCAGAAGCCAAAGCTGCCTCACTGGGAGAAGGCGCGCTTCCAGCGGCTGACAAAGCCACGTCTTCCGGACCCAGTGGATGCCAGGCTGGCGCCGCACGCAGGCTGCTTCCACGCCGTGGAGGTCCCGCCCGCACGGGAGGTCAGTGAGGACGTGATGGCAGGGAAGTGGGGACTTTGAATGATTAGATGTCTGTGTGACCTGTTATTGCTTGCTGATTTGTCTTGCATTGTTGTGCTAATGTGTGTGGTTCTACTGTCTCCTCAGGACAATCCTTTGGAAGTTCTTATCGGAAAACAGCTCCGCAAAACCTGCGAGAACTCACGACTCATCATATTTTTCCATCGTAACTCTATAACGCTCACTGAAGTACATAAGGTAAGCATCTAGCAGTGAGCCCGTGTGACCGTTTCGGTAATCAGAGAAACGATCGATCTACGGGATGGTCTACGTCTACGGGTCGATTGTCTGGAGTGTCGGGACAAATCGGGACCAATCGTCTACGGGACTGTCGCTCTCTTTTACTGTTTTACATGTGACCTAGTGCAGTGGACTTCCCCTAGGCACGCTTGCGATGCACCGCCGGCAGCGGTATGTCGCAAGTGTCGATGTAACTAATCGATGTCTCACTGCGTTGCGATTAACTTTGGCCTTAGTTGTATTATTTACGTGATAGTTGTGTCTAAAGCTGCAGTGTTGCGGTCCGCTCACCGCCCCTGGCTCCCCTCCCCGTGCGGCGCTGCAGGCCTGGCAGATGCTGAAGCGCGCCGGCTTCACCTACCACAAGCTGTTCAACAACCGCATCGCCGGCCACGCGTTCTCGGAGACGCGGCTGTGGCCAGTGCTGCAGCTGTGCCGCTCGCACACGGCGCTGGTCACGTGCCCCGAGCCGCGCGTGGCCCAGCTGCTCAGCCTGCAGAAGCGGCTGCCGCAACTGGTCGTCATCGGTGGGTGTTGCCGACTGGCCGTGGGGTAGGGGCGGGGGGGGGGGCTGCTACGGGCAATATATTGAGTTGGTCTTTTATTATTGCAATAAGGCAGGTAACGGATTGACACTATTTGGTCTGGCTGACGATATGGTATTGCATTGAGATTAGTGCTGCAATGTCTGGAGTGGATTCACGTGTGTAACAAGTGAAGGCGTAAACGGTTCCAATGTGCCCCCAGGTGGAGTGGTCGAGGACCGGTTCATGTCGGTGGCCGACCTGGAGCGGTACGCCCAGCTGCCCTCGGTGGACGCGCTGCGGGCCCAGTTCTGCCACCTGCTGAGCGCGCAGGCGGCCGGCCTCAGTGCCTCGCTGGGCCACCACCAGGCGGCGCTGGTGCGCTCTCTGACGGCCTACAGCGAGCCGGCGGCAGCGGGACGGCAGGGCCAGGAGGAGAGCTGAGGGAGGCGGGCACGGCTCTAGTGAGAACTCTCCGAGTGTGCGGGTGTGAGTTGGGGACGAGAAGGTGACTGTGTGGGTGCCGTTCTGTTTTCTAGAGCTCTCAGAGTGCCTGGAGGCTGGAGAGGCAAGGGACAACGTGTGACGATGGTGCATGGGAAAGTCTGAATAAATAAATGTCAGTGCGCTTACGTTGTGAAACAAAAATGGTCCGGTCGACGCCACGTATAAAAAAATGATGGTTAAATATAGAATGCATAGCAGTGGTGGCATGGTGTGTACTGTGTAGCATTAGCTAAAGTAAATAGCCGTGTGCCTTTATTTGTGGAACAAACTTTGGCCCAGTGGAGATTCCATGGTTTATCTTTGCGTCACATTTCGTGATGGCCCTCTCCGAACTGCTTCTAACGCCGACAAACTGTCACAGATGCAGGACGATCGCACATTATCAAATCGTGTACTGTGAGCGGAGTTGAAAATAATGGCTGGACAAGACGCTTTACCGGTTTACTGAGTGTCTCCAAGCACCAAAAGGTGTATTTTCTACATGAGCAGGTTTTGCCAATGGTGCTCGTGCCGTGGTTAACTGGTGTTTCCCCGTTGATCACCGTCGAGCGAGCGTAATTGTCCGAACAGAATCGTAAACAGGCCCATAACCACTAACGGTGATGTTGTGGCAACATTTCCAAACTGGCAGAAACACCGGTGAACTAGAACAAAAATGCCTAGCAGGTAATTTCGTCGTTTCTTACTTCCAGGATGGCGACAATTGAACTGTGCTCATTTGTGGCGGAGGGGAAGTGACTCATCCAGGTCTCGAGGCCGCCTCAAAAGAAAATCTTACCCTTTTATGCCCGCCTAGAAGACCGGGGAGTGCACGCTGTTTGACGCGTCGTTATTCAGGCCAGGTGGAAGCTGGTGACAGCCACGCCAGACCCGGGAAGGTCGTGTCGCCATCTACCATATGGGCTTTGATTGGGCTCGAAATCCTTCCGGTGAACCGGCCGCTGGCGGTGTGGTCGGATGGTGGCGCTACGCAATAATTCCCCTTAGCGGGCATCCGGGCTGCTTAGTTATCCATTCGACAATTTTGACTTAATTTATAAAAAAAGTTCGAGGTTTGTAAAATGTAAATTTGACAATATGCGAACAAGCGACCAACGGCACAGCGTAATTAACGAGACAGCTAACCGCTGACAACAAACGAAGCCTGGGCCAGACCGTCGCGAGAGGCTTTTTAGTCACCAACTCACCCGCACAGTGCCACAGCCTGCAGCTATGGAAGTGGCAACTGGCAAGGACTCGGCACGTAGCCAGGATTTTGCTCAGGGAGGGGCCACGGGTTACAACTTACAACCTAGTGTCGTACCCCCTCCAAAAAAGGAAAACTCCTCGGATTTGGCCAACTATTTTTGGGATGTGGTGCAGCTGTTTTTATTTGTTTTTAGTTTTATTTGACTTTATTTTATTTTTGCCTTCAGGGGGGGTCATGGCCCCCTTGGCACCGTCCCAGGCAAGGACTTAAGTACTAAACTGTACCTTCCGATGCACTTACTGACGAATCCACTGCTATCTTCTCTGTCTGTCTGTCTGTCTGTCTGTCTGTCTGTCTCTCTCTCTCTCTCTCTCTCTCTCTCTCTCTCTCTCTCTCTCTCTCTCTCTCTCTCTCTCTCTCTCTCTCTCCCTCTCTCTCCCTCACTTATCACTAACCCGTTCACTAAGTCACTCACAATGACTCACTAGTTACTCCGTCAATGCACTAAAAATGAAACAAATAAAAACTAACATTGTAAACCACGCTGTACCCTACCTGCTTTTATAATGTTGCAGTGATGTTCCTCCAGGAATAGGGCCTTGGTCCAGGAATTTTGCAGCAAATTAGTTTCACGGTGAAATTTAGTTGAAGTACATCAAGTACATATATGAAGCGACGGAGACAAACTGTGGCTTTATTTTGATTTCCTGAAGCGGTGAGGCTTGGGCGAGGCGGGTGTTTTGAAAAATGTTTGTTTGAACTCCTGCCTCCAGGCGATAGGTATATACCTTGAAATCTAATTTCTCCTGCAGTGTTGTGAAGTGTGAACTTATGGTTATGTGAGCCATGAGCTCTTATGAGCTCCGATTTGTGTCGTTGTGTACCCGGCTAATGAGTGATCAGACTGAGACGATTGGACAATGCCCGTGTCTTTGAAGAAGGAAGAAAAGGTGAGCTTTCTGCTACGAATAAATAATTTGAATGGGAATTATCTCAGGCTTCGCTAGGTTATTTGCAAATTGACCCGCGCCGTGCTGGGGGGGGGGGGGGGGTACGCCCCCTTCTCAAATTTTTCGCGAATATCTCTAAAAAACGGCGTCACGCATCGCCGCCGTTTTTGGCACACATGTTCATCTTTTCTGCACATGTGCAAATTTCAGACCCGGGTCAGGGTCATTCAAGGTCAGGTCACTAGATCACGTCAATAAAAAGTTCCAATGCTCGCTTTAGGCACCTACACCGAATGAACGATCGCTTTGAAACTTTCAGCGATTGAGAAGAGTAACAGTTGCAGCGGTTCTGCGACACCTGAGCGAGCGTCATTTCAGCGAACGACATTTGAGCGAAGCCTTTTCAGCGATTATCAATTTAAGCGATTGACTTTTTCAGCGATTGCCAAGTCGGCGAATTCAATCACAGCGATTATCAACTTAAGCGAGGACCAGAATCAGCGAAACCAGATTGAGCGAATATATGGAGGTCAATGGGGGACCAATTGAGCGAACACAGTTACAGCGAAACCGAACGCGACGGAAGTCAATCATTTGCTACTTTTCGGGAATTCTTGCCCTTGGAATACATACCCGCTGTTATGTGTCATGCTTCAAGCTGCGCGCGGCAAATTAAAAATTTGCTTTTTGCTTGGAAACCACAAAAATATGGCCTCATTCTGCAACCTTGATCTGGAAATGTGGAACGTGAGAGATAGGACGATGGAAGGAATGCCAAGGACCAATAAATAAACTCGAGGGATGGCACAGGGGGATCCAGTCTATGTTTCAGGGACCTCACCCAAATATCTGGAAATTCGTACGTTGCTTGGGGCAAGAACAAATTTTACAACATGGGGACTGATCCAAATTCAAGCGGGGGAATTTCGCGAAAAACAGCACAAGCAATATGAATCTCTGAACAAACGTTTGGTCATCGTTATTGGTCATCGTTATATCCATGGCTCTTCACCAACGCTTCTGGACATAATCGCTCTCCTCTTATCTGCCAGCCTGGCCGAGATGCGAGTACCGTACAGCTTCCGGCGAAGCACAGTGGTCCCACTTATTAAAAAAAGCAGCTTGGACCCAAACTGTCCGGATAGCTACCGACCAATTTCTTTGGTGTCCACGGTATCAAAGCTGCTCGAATTACTGCTTCTTCGAGAAATCCAACTTTCTTTCCGACCTTCAGACCTACAGTTTGGATTCCTTCAGCGCCGGGGCACCAGAGAGGCAACGCTACTCGTCCAGGAAGCGGCTGGCCACTATTTGTTGCACGAATCCCCGCTGTTTGTCGCTAATCTCGACGCTCGTAAGTGCTTTGACCGAATATGGCACGCTGGCATCCTACTTCGGGCTAAAGACTACTTATCTCGCCGAAGCTGGCTGGTTTTAGCCTTCTGGTATAGCGACCTCTCAGCACGAGTTCGGTTCGGAGGTTCTATATCGGATGCGTTTTCCGTACGACGAGGGGTGAGGCAAGGTGCGCTTCTGTCACCATGCTTGGCCAATATTTTCTTAAGGCCGCTGATACAGCAACTGGACGATACCGGCCTTGGTGCAATGGTCTGTGGTAAGCATGTCCCAGTAGTGGCTTACGCTGATGACCTCCTAGTCATGTCGGGGAACGCACTTGACCTGCAAAAGCTATTGGATTCTGTCTCAGAATTCTCAGTTAGCTGGAGGCTCGAATTTGTTAACCCGGTCCCGAGCGCAACCAAAAGTCACTGTTTCATTTTCGGTGCTGGTCTTTTAGCCCAGCGACCTGAGTGGCACTTATGCAACCAGTTGCTCACGTGTAAGGAATACACTGAGCACCTTGGTGTTCAGCTGCACCCGAACCTTCAGGGCCGAGTGCACGTAGATGCACGCGTGTCCCGTGGACGAGGCGCCTATTTCGGTCTCTCCCGAGCGGGTTTGTTCAGCTCGCAGCTCCCTGGCCCTGACAAAGCTTTCCTTTGGCGAGCCATAGTATCCCCGACCCTGTTATTTGGTTGTGCTCTGTGCCCTCTGGGACCCGCCGACATCTCTCGTCTCGAGTCCTGGCAAGCAGCAACAGTCAAAGCTGCCTTACGTTTGCCATCCAGAGCCCACCACACAGCTTTGCTCGCTGCTCTGCACATACCGAAGGTACAGGAGACTCTACGTCGCTCCATCATCGCGTGCTTCCGTGATGCGTTCCGCGAAAATCACCGCCTACGCCAAATTCTGGTTGCCAGCCTGGCCACTCTTGTTCTTGGGGATGCCTCATCGGGACACTGCGCGCCTATCGTTAGATTTATGTTCATCGTATGTGGGGCCAATATGAGTGTGCTTCTACAGGTTGCTGGAGGTCATATCCCACCTGAGATTATGTACACCCCAAGACCCCCCTGTGGAGTCACCGACTCGCTCAGCTGGCTCCTGGCTCAGAACACTGGGGAGGCATGGGCACTAATACAAATGATATTAGCGCCACCCATATGATAGTGTTATGTTGTTTTTGGTATGCCTATGTTTTGGTGTAGGTATGATTGTGCATATGTTTTCTGGCGTATGTCTTGTGTGCATTGTGTATGTTTGTTATGCCCATGCTTGTCTTGTCTCTAGACGTAATACAATTGATGATGATGATGATGATTGGCAAACAGCATGGGTGGGGGGTGAAATCGAACCGCTGGAATTTTTGAGAAATGTGGCATTAAATTTGGAGCTTAATGTCTGAACTTTGAACGTGACATCCGCCATCCAGTTCCGGATAACCATGAAAAGTTCCGGAAACATTCGTTGTGCGTACGCTCGCAAAAAAAAAAAAACACCGTTACGGGACGATGAAGTGTTTCGCTGAAATGACAGTCGCTCAAACTGTGGTCGACGAAAAAGATGTCGCTGAAACATAGCTTTCGCTTAAATTGATAATCGCTATATTTGATAATCGCTCAATTTGATATTCGCTAAGTTGCTATAGTTCGTTTTTTTTAAGTTTGCCCCTCACTGTAAACGTCTTTTTGAACATAGCACGAGAATTGCTAGCTGAATT